AATTTATACTGCCGCCCAAAAGGTGAACCACGAGGAGTCGAATACCTCGAATGGTACTGGAACCACAATGTGTATGGCGAAGAGGAAAGAAGTCGTTGATAGCTTTGCACTCTCAAGAATGACCACACGAAATAGCCAAACCACCCACCGGTACGCGTTTGCGGCATTGCAACTGGGAGAAACAGCTCCTTGTCGTACTTCATAAACTCGAAAACTGATGTCCGCTATCTCATTCACAACGATGCAGGAGTTCGCGTTCATCCTGTAACCACGAATGGACGTCTCAGTAAATCGTCTTCCCGTCTGCAAGCGGCTGACAGAAAGCCATTCTCACCTACTGGTAAAAGTTTGTCTATCTCATCTTGTATTTACACGGACCGATTCGCTGAAGTTTGTGAGATGATACCCTACACCTACAACCTGGCTGATTTTGTACGGAACAAGGGCGCTATCCAAGATAAACCTAGTCACAGCGTACAATCGGATTACCGTGGTGGCAATAGATGTTTTGAAGACGGCCAATATAACACCGTTTAAAGTGTTTGAATATCTCCTCATGATTTTCGGTCTTCGGAATGCAGCGCAAATATTCCAACGCTTGATGAATGACTTCTCCCGTGGTTTACATTGTGACCACGTTTACACTGATAACTGTCTCATCCTGAATCCAGTCAAGATATTTCACTTTCGATGCTTGATCCTGGCATCTGATAGACAGAAGAAGCTTGATATCATAGTGAAAATTCAGAAACGTGAAATGGAAGTTGAATCACTCGATTACCTTAGGCGTACTATTGATCACAAGTGTATGTGCTCATCGACAAATAGAGTGGCAGCTGTTCTGTAATATGCATAACTGACAGATGTAAAGTGAATTCTCACTTTGAACAGGCTGGTAAGTTATGACTGAAGGTGTATTCCCAACTTTGCTTGTATTACGAGATCACCGATATAAGTACTCGGTCGCAATACAAGGTGTGTGACTCTGGATAACGTGACTAAACTTGCCTTCTCCAAAGTCTAGGTAGCCATCTTGAATGCAACCATCCTTGTGTATCACGACCTCAATACTCCTTTGGGTATTGCTCTTAATGCACCTGACTCAGCAAGCGGAGCAGCTTTTATAACGGCTGGTTGTTGACCAGTAGAAGCCACTAGCCTTTTCCCCTAGGGCATGTTAGGGGTGGAAACAAGCTCTATACAGGTAGGCGATATCTTCTTACACAATTCAGATCGACAGTTAGAGATTTCATGCCATGGTGCCACATCTTGGTCTGATCACCCTGAATCATCTTCCAACCCAACCCAAATTCCCAAAGCATGGCACACCTTGGTAGGTGGTGACTCGGTGTGCGCAACAAATGTCCAAGCCCCCTTGACCGATAGAGATTCACAAACTCACCTGTCTACTCCACCATTTGCTTAGCAATCTTCGCCTGACCTCAGCATTTCTCATATAGTGACTCCATACATGCACTGCCACGAAGACACATGCGACCAAACCTCCGTAACCACTTCGTGTTCTTTACTTTCAGAAGTTGTCTCATGACAGCATAACACGGAATGCGGCAGAGTATTCTCTACCTTCGATAATGGGTTATCTCACCATTCGGCAAAGAATGTGTGCTTGTCGATAGATATTGTGAGAGATGTTCCGGAATATCCAGAGCAACAACTACCATCTAACTGCCAGTCCATATACATGTAAACTCATCTTGAGTGATCGGATATCGTATGCGGCCGACTGAAGAAGCATGACATCGCAGTGTCGACCAGAGGTCGGATCGCTCGATTTCCTGTCGCATGCCACCGGCAACAAAGGTGAGTGCCCAATGGTACATGAAACCAGATCCCATGATACCTGCATGCTAGATCATCTTGAATATATCACAAAGAGGCGTGATCATGGCCTTTTTGCCACTGCACTGTTTTTCGACTTCAAGAAGGCACTTGACAAAGTGCCCCACCAGAGACTGCTCATGAAGCTCAGGTCTTGGGCATAGAAAACCCCTTATGTAACCGGTTCGAATCATTTATTTATGAACGTTCTCATATAGTCAAATTAAACGATCGCTTTTCAGACCCTCGGCACTTTACAAGTGGTGTAGCACAAGGAAGTGTCCTTCGTTCACTTTTCCTTCTCATATGTATTAATGACATGTGATGGTTAGACATAGAAAACCATATCTGTATGCTACCGGCCTTAAGATAGTTTACAGCTTCCAGTACGGTGCAATTACTGAAGGCCTGCCAGCAGGTCAGGCAGAAAGGGTAGAAACAGGGCTTTTTTCCGTTTTGCATCTCTGCCTTCTTGTAACAATGGAGTAACAGCCCGTTCATAACCATTCACTTCATTCCCCAGCAGTCTAACATGAAACAGCAAGCACACTATCTATTGTAAGCGATGACAATGAATGCAACGAGTGACTTTTTGCGAACCACCATCTACATGTAAGGTGCTTGCTGTAAGTCACACTCTTTTCATGGGATAAAATCAACGTATTTTTGTAATTCATTTAAGCACGATGACGTTTGCAGTGTAAACTGCGGTTTTTCATAGACGAAGTAAGTTTTTAACAGTTGATAAAGTACTCTTTCTGGGATCTCGCCTGCAGTCAGCCGAGCTTGGTCTTCTGGGTTTCGCCTCAACATGAAGGTATCAAACACAGCTCACTACTACTTTGCGTCTGCTTTGCTCCGACTAAAAGCTACACTTTCAAAGTCCGTGATCCAGCCATGTTTTGGCAGCTGGGTTACGAGCATCCTTCCAAGAATGGTCTTTTACTCGGTATGATAAATATACTGCTCTCCTGAACAAGTTTATTTGTCCAAGCCTGCATTGTTATTCGTCTATTTTCACCATCAACAGGTGAGGTGTTGATTAGATGATGCTCACAGCAATTTACGCAAGACCAACTGTGCTAGCTAATAGCAATGATACCAGTCACTTGTAAGTAAAATCATGAACCATGTACCTTATCTTTGATCCCGCGGCTTTTTTGGGATTACAGGGTTAAGCAACATTCTACTGCGTCAATCTTAGTTTTATCCCGTAGTTGTGTACAAGCCTCACTAACTTGAATCTGCAAAGTAAGTTTATTGTATTCTTCACTGCCGTTCACTTTCTGACTTCTGCCATCCTCTGATGTGAGAGCAGGAGATGACGTCTTGATGCCTGTATTCCGCATATGTTACTTCATTTTCTCCTCGAACAAAAGTGGAACTTCGTATGAAATGCAAGTATGCTGAAAACACAGACAACTACTTTAGTACATAAAAGCAGCAACAAAATAAACAACGGATCCGTACATACTTTATAATACCACCTAGTTGAGAGGAATTTCAGCTCTTTTTTGTCGACAGAACGCTCGTTTTTGAAACACACTATCGCTGGCTTTCAAACCCTACAAAATTTCACAAATATAAAACAAGAGCGGAAGCAAGATTCGAAAAACATCCCATTTTGATTTTCAGGTGTAATACTATACTTGTGAGCCTAACTTGAAAAAAATTGACTAGCCTTGCAGGCGAAAAGTAAAAACTACGACCAGCAACTAGCCGCTTATTATTATGTTGCTTAGTCAGCCGATTTCATTTCTCCAGCCGTGACTACAGCTAAAATAATGAATTTCAAAGACTTTCTGGCAGTTATATTCATAGTACATAAAAATAAATGAGTCGTAGCCTCGGATAATGATATTTGTTCCTGAATAAAAGGGTGCGTATCATTTTTTGCAGATATGGCTGTCCCAATTAGTGGTGAAAATCTTTTGTGATGCTGTTTGCAATGTCTTTATACATCATATACAAATCATTGCATGCTGATTCACATGCTGGATTCTGAGTCCATTCACAGATATAAATTCTTCTGGCAGAAATGCAAGTGAAAGTTATGTATAACTAATAAGTCAAAGGTAGTTTGTTAGAATCAATCAAACAAGCACTTGTTCTGTGAAAAGCTAGAGTACTTAAAGGTGGCGGGTATGCGGCTTGGTTGTTTGAATCTTGTTTTCATCGTTGCAACAATGTATGCATTAGTTTCTCTCATGTGTTAGCTTCAATTTTCTCTTGCGTTGTGTTTTCTCATGTTAGGGAAATGCAGTGATGGTCCAGCCTATCTTACTGTGTCGTGAGATATAGAGGGGATTCGCTTTTGTTAAGCTTAGCACAAGATTGAGTACTAACGCACGTTGCTTGTTATATATCTTTTGTGTACTGTCACCAGTATTCTTGGTATCTTCGTTGTCACCAACAAATATCTTAGTATAGGGGTGTTCAGCTTAGTAAGTTAACCCAGTCAGCATTCTTGCCAGACAGAGACGTGCCGTAGGGATAGTGTCAATGACGCAGGATAGAATGATGGATTTATGCAGTTTTCCGCTACCTTTCTCTACGTTTTCTGCGCTCTGCCATCTTCCATTTAAGTTTGTCCCACGTTAATTCACTTAGCTATCCGCCTGATATATTCTGAAATGAACGTAAAAGTCTCGGAGAGCGTAATTCACATCCTATGGTATTTAAAGACCGTTTTGTCAACAATGTCTTCAAGAGCGTTTGACAAAAGTTATGAGCTGAATGAGGAGTTTCGCCTGTTCATGGCCACTTAGTCTGCTGTAGGTACTCAACATCTTTTCATATGGTACACCAAATTACACTAGATTCAACAGCCATCATTTTCTGAGCTAACCTGTGGCAAACCTGTAACTAATTGGAACTGGTCACATGTTTATAGTTTCAGTCTCCTGTACTCATAATACTGTTTTCACGTGCACCAAGGCATGGAGCTGGTGTCCCTGTTAGTGTAATGTGGTGGCTGACTGTGGTTAATAGCTGAAATTTACGAAATATTCTGAGCCCCGTAACTCATACCTACATGTTACGTTATTCACTGTGATGTGCTTGCAAATAGTTAGTCAGTAGATGCAATGATTTTTTTAAACCAAATATTTTAATAACGACCTCGTTCAACCCCTATTTTCTCATCGTGTTTGCTTTTGCGTCTCGGACATGTTTCTTGTCTTGTCACTTATTGCGTGAAGAGTAAAAAAGTCTAGACACTTCAGAATTGCAGGAACAACGGGAAATGAGTGAATAATATTGGTAATTAAGTCAGTCACACTGAAAGATAAGCTTGATTGATTGATTACATTATTGAGAAGTAAAGTCAGAAAGCAATACAAGATGCGACGACCGTGTGGAGCCTGAGTGATCAGCTATGTGAGTTTGAACTGTCTGAAGTATCAAACCAAAATGTATTTAGTTCATGCCTAAGTATATGTTCGTCGTGGTCAATAATTATTAAATGGCAATCTCACGGTAATCATCAATTTCGAGATGTTTTGTCCTCTTATTGGTTGAATTTGAAGAATTAGGGAATTAGGGACTTGATATATATATATATATATATATATATATATATATATATATATATATAATTACATATATATATAATCACTAGTCCGAATTTGTCAAGTGTGCCATGAAGCAGTTGGCCTTAACGATATGAGCACCAAGGAAGTGTTAACCCCCTCACAATTCCATCAGCACTTGTTTTCCATCAGATCATCAATCTTCCATAAATTTGCCTGCTATTCTTTCCTCGCATCTCGGTCAACATTACTACATACTCGGTTATTTCTCCCAGCTCAGCAGTAACTAATAACGATTCGAGTTTATATAAGAGCATTCCTAACCCCTAACGCTCATCTCAAAGCTACATGTTGAAATCGGACAACACATAGTGCACTCGGTGTCACACTAACGACGCGATTGTTGCATGTAGAGGATATTCGAAGACCTCTTTTTTCTGAGCTAAGGTTTTGTAAGGATTTAACTTCACAATAGTGTTAAAGGTTCGCCAAACAATTTTGCCCCTTATTATCATGCGGATATCGATTCAGATCTATTCTAAAACAGTAATTAGTATTTTGATGTGAGAAATGTATTCCTAACATTCATCATACTTAGAATACTCTACATTTTTCATTTTGTATGACGGAACTGTCATCTCTTTAAGAAGGCAACTCCTGTGAAGTCGGAAAAAGATTATACTTTTATAGAAGAACTAGATATACGTGAAGAGAGCGGAAATCCTTAATAAACACCACTCAAAGGCGTAATCCCAAGTGATTGGTGTTTTCAAATAAAGTCTTGAGTAGGATGACATACTTGCTATACATCACACTTAAAAGCTTTTGGATAATGACGTCAAATTTTGCGTTTATGCCGAAAAATGCTGCTAGTGTTGGGTGTCCGTATGGGTTTATTGATCAGGAACTGTTATAAATCAAAAACGTGCAACATGAAATAAAACTTTGCTGGCTTTTCCTGAAATAAAGGGTCGAATAACTAATGAAGTGGCAGTTGTAAACGGCTTGGATTGTTATTCGTAAATAGGTAAATTTGGAAAACGTTTTCATCATGATGGAAGGTTAATTACCAAGTTCACATAAGATATTTGTCGATACCCATAAGTGCTAATTTATTGGTTGAGTTTATATATATCTACGTGTGAATTACAAACGCGGTAGTACTATATTAGGTACGTATTTGTAGTGTGTCCATTTCCCCAGCTTTAGAAAATCGTCATATAGCCCTTGCCTGCATTTGGGTGGTGAGATACGCACCCCAAACATTCTCGAATTCCCACTGAAAGTGTTCAGAAGACTGCATCTTCTCAGCATCCTCACCTAACAGGACTATGTCATCTGCATATTCTAGGTCTAAGGAAAATTCTGCGATCACGTCGACGTCTGTGTAATCAGGTGACGATAGGGATACCTACATAAGAATATCTATGATGAAATCGAATGAGAATGGAGATAGTGGGCACCCCTGAGCATAGCAGCCTGGACATCTCACTATAGGCTCTAACACGCCCACAAATGTTCGAGTAGAGAGCCTTCAATAAAGTGGTGTACTTACTCGGCACGCCTTTCAGTGAGAGACATTGCCATAAGACTTCTCAATCAACGGAGTCGAATGCCGCCTTCAGGTCGAGAAATACAGCTGTTGTCGGGCGTCGATAAGCGTGCCTATGTTCCAGGACCTGGTGCAGTGTGAATGTTTGGTACATGTTTATATAGTAAGCTACGAGGCATACTTGTGTGAGGGCTGATGAGACTACCTGATTGTCTTAACTGAAGTAGGTTAATCAGTATTCGAACCGGGTACCCGTTGCTCACAGGTTCTGATCATTGGGTTAAGGGTTCAAAGTTCTATTTATCAATATTTAAAGATTTTGACGATGCATTTTGGCTTTCACACACAGAGTTATTGAAATAACATGAATGCAAACTGTTGGGTGCTTTATCTTACCTAGTTCGAAAGTTCTTACCCAAAGTTCAATTTATTATTCCCCCTGTGTCGTTGTTTACTGGTCTTAAATACATTTTGTTCATTTTTTTAAGGAAATTATATTTATTTCGCATATAACTAACGCCAACCGATGGGAGCCAACAAACTTGTTAAGCGAAGGAATAAAAAAATAGTTTTTCAGTCTTTATTCAACCAAATTGTATGCCGATCAAATAAGGTAAATTTCCAAACAGATACGCTAATAAATACAGCTATACAAGGGATCGGTGACATTGGAAGAAAATTTGCTCCACCTTCTGGATTTTATGGACAAATGTCGAAAAAAGTGGCGAAGTGTTTTTGTTAAGCTTTATTCTATCTTGTGCGTCCAAAGGTCAGAAGTTAAACGACTGAAAAACTTGCAGGTAAATTGGCATCTTCTTTCCTTATCATACAGGCCCATACTCAATCTATGTTTGAAGCTGAGTCGCAAAAACGAAGTCAGTTAGAACGATCTAAAAGATCTCTTGAACGCAAAGTCAATATTATAAGAAAAGTGCTACTTGTAAACGACATTGAAAGGGCCAAACGTCATCTTGAAACAATCGACCAGTCAACTAGTAAAATCAATCAGTCTTGTAACGAAGATGCTCAAAATGATTGTTCAGAGAATTCTACAGGAAATGCTAGTACATCTATTGACACAATTCCTTTCGTTAATAAAGGACGGACTAGGTAAATTTACACCTTTATATCACTTAATTGCCTCACTCACGTTACATACTCCAGCTCCGTTTTGTCAAATTTACACTCAGATTCTAATATTTTGCTTAACGCAACTAGCAGTTTTAACTTTGATGTGTTTGTCAGGGTAAGTTGTTACACAAATTGTATGGGACTGTAATTTTTCGGTTACTCGTCCTCGTTACGCAGTAATGCCTGGTCCTATGTTGATATTGGTTGATTGCTCGTTCTCTTTGCTTCCATGTTAGAGAGTTTAATTTGAGTACGTCAACACTAGAGCAGATTTTTCACATAAAGTAACTGCACTTTAAGCAAGAGTCAGTAATTCTGAGCTGGGATATAGAAAAGGCACCGGGGTTGGGTAATACCCGGCAACTATTTAGGCTTACTAAAGTTACCGCCAAGAAGAAAATGATGGTTAGTGAAACCATCACCGAAAAGGATGGGATGCTGATAACATCCCAGGTCAGGAGGCCAGAATGTTGGGTGGAACAATTCGAAGCCCAGTTCAACTGGCTAACATCAACGCTTCAGTTACCCAGTATCCGGCCACCCTAAATCAGTCCCCGAACACTTCTCGAAATTGAGAATGTTGTTTCAAATATGAGACGATGGAGAGCAACGGGATCTGACGGTTTGCTATCAGAGGTTTTCGAGGATGGGGATAGGAAATTGCTAACTATAGTGACAGAGGTGGCGTACGGTAATCAGAGGTAGTCACGTCAGACTGGTCTACTTTTCTAATTATTCCTGTCTACAAGAATAGAGAGGTCTTGGGACAACCATAGAAGAATTAGTTTGATTAATATCATGTCCAAAATCCTTAGGAGCATGGTTATTCAGCGCCTATGTGGAACACAGGTGACCGACACTTACCACATATTTTGACCTTAAGTCGTTATTCGACTCTGCCGACCGTGAGGTGTTGTGTGTTTGACTAGAAAAGTACTACCCAGGAAGTATGTAGCGATAATCAAAGCTCTCTACTTTAACTAACGCAACCACTTAAAGGCTTCTAGACAGTTGTTATGTGAGTTGATGACAATTAGTGGTGTTTGCCAGAGATGTCCACTATCACCGTTCCTATTTAACTTCGTCATAGACGTACTTAACGACATTACCCAAGGTACATATGACTTCAGAGAGATTGATCTACTCTCTAGAGGTCATCTGGTTGACTTGGAGTATGAGACGGTATTGTCCTGCTGGGTGAAAACGCTGACAAAATACAGGTCTTTTTAACGTCTTTTGCAGAAATCTGAGTATGTTTGATATGCTTCCCACTGGCGCCTGCCAAATGTAAGATGATGTTTGAGGACTGGTTTTCTGCAAGTACTCCCAGTTTAATGATAGGAAGTGAAGTAGTGGAATGTGTCGACCACTTCACTTGGGAAGTTGTATCAATCTGAACCGGGCTGTTTGCTGACGAAATCTCAGCTCGGATACATAAGACCCGTTTGTCATTTGCCGACTGGCGTCACCTGTGGCCACGGCAAGATGTCTGATTATTTATCAAAGAATAAGTATACTGCTCTGCAGTCCATTCTGTCCTGTTATACAGCTGAGATGGCCATTAAAATAGGAATATAGTGGTTACAGGGTTTTGGTCGTAGGCGTTTTCGTAGCATTGCTCACGGTCTGTGGAAACATCGTATGAAGAATGTAGAGGTTAGTCGAAGAGTACTAGGCAAAGAAGGCGTGTAGATCGATGTGGTTGTTAACGTCCACCGAATAAGGTGGCTTGAACATGTGTTATGCATGCCGAGCCACTGCCCACGTGCATTGCTAGCAGAAGTTGGATTGGGTTGGAAGAAGGCTCAGCCTAACCAGACCAAGACGTGGCATCAGTGTATGAAGTCTCTTACTGTTCGTCTGATCTAAGTAAGGAAATGTAGAATGCCTGGCTAGGGTCCCAGAAACAATAGGAATCAAGTGGTTGATGATTCTTGGTGACATGGCTGTAAATCGGTCGCAGTGGCGCAGATGTATTAACTCTTTGATGTCTTCTGAAGCTCTAATATTCTCACTAACTATCTTCAAATTATTTCTCTTCTCATGTACGTTTGTCTATTCTGACATCACTTCTTCTATCCACTTGTTTTCGTGTTACTGTGGCAGCCTGAACCGATGCATTTGTGTGCGAGGTTCTACATTGATTTTGTCTGCGTGTCTTTATCTCACTTGAAATTAGTGGTGGACGGATGCTAACTAATTTCCGCCTGTGGACGTTCGCACATGCAGTTAGTTTCGCCTGACCTCATATGCTACACATGCAACATTGCCTTGTGAAGAAAGCTTCACGCAGTTGTTGAGTTACATTGTATCCATTCTCAGTGCATGACCCCTATATGATTAGGCTGCTTATTTTACCACATTTTTACTTCGTAACACCTTTTACTTATCATGTTTCTCTTAGTAGTGCTTATGTCTCGGGTACATTGTGCAGGACAAGTACAGCTGATCATAATGGTATTGTCAGGCGCTCTGCAACAAGGCAAGAATTGCGGTCTTCTGCTGTGCAAAAGTTTATATTACGTCGTTCTAGAGATAACTGTTTTCAGGTTGACGGTGCACAGGTAATAAATTGTTTGTGATAATTATCTGTATATTATTTTATTGCACATGCAAAATTGCTTTTATAATTCTGTTTCTTCATGTAGAAATTTCGTCTTATCTTAGGTTTCTCTCTAAACACTATTACCAAAATAGTTTCATTCTCTATCCGTCATATTGTAACAACATTTCGTAATGTTTGAAAACGATGTTAAGTAGTATATTATAGTGAAACTGGTGATATTTTGTTACTTCAAGACCATTATATTATGTGGATAATAAGCTGTAACGCTGAGAAGCATGACAAGGTTTTTTGGAATTTTTGATCCGAAACGACTCTGTTGTATTTTTAATTCGCGGCCAATATTAATCTAAACAACTAAGTATTATTATTAGAACATAAACATGATACAACATGGACACCAAGAAATGCACCATAATTGATAGTATAACAACATTGTGAAGACATAAGCGATGAGAAGTGGATAAGTAAGAAAGAAAAATGATAAGAATAGCATGGTTAGAAGGGCAGTCCAATAAGATACATTCAGAACAAAACATTCACTACTTTTCAGAAGCAGAAGACAGGAGGAAGCTACACGTTGACCGCAACCGGTTTCCATTCTCAGCCATATCTGATAACGTCTCAAGTCATTGAGTTGAGTGGTCCTTCGGATACGACCCAGGAAGTTGTGATGCACCAACAGATGCCAACCCGATACAACTATCCTTCATTCCACGACACCGCCTCATACACTGACCACCCCTCCGCTTCTTCCATCTAGTACCAGGGTTAGTAAAGTAAACAATGAACGGCGTGGAAGCCGTTGAGACGACATGAGTAACACACATATAAGCCACCGAAGCCGGCGTTTCCAGATGACTTCACTTATTGAATGACAATCTCCATCTTACCCAAACACACCATGTTGTACCTCAGTATTACTTACATGGTGTTGCCACTGGATACGAGCAACCCTACGGAGACAACAGTGGTCGAACACACAGAGTCGTCGTACATCCTCAGCTCAGACAGGCCAGGTCTCATAGACGTAGAGAAGAACTGCTCACACCGAAGCGTTGTAGGCGAGATCTTTTAGGGTCAGACTAACGTCGTGACGGAGATGAAAGTGGTCTGTATCGGACATGCCACTGTGGCTTTCGATATGTGGTTGCAAATTTCATCACCCACACCTCCACCAGCACTCACACAAACACCCAGATACACGAACTTTTCCACTATTTCCAACGTCTCACAACCAAGGGTGAGTGCAGGCACAGGCTCCTGCCAATCTTGCAAAGTACTCTGCACATCGATGGTGCAAAGCAAATGCCGTACTTGCGGACACTAATCGTAAGTCGATTAAGCGCGGCTTGATTAGCCCGTGTGTTATCGTACAGTAAGATGATATCGTCTGCATATTCAAGGTCGAATAGCCGTTCTCCGTGTATTAGATCTACACCAACACCACGCCGCCCCATCACAGCTGTCTCAAGGATGTCATCGATGGCAAAGGCAAAGTTAAAGAGGAATGGAGAAATCGGGTAACCCTACCTGATCCCACTGCTGGTTTGGAACAATGGAGACAGGTGGTTGTGTCCTCACTCTACTTGAGGTGTTATTATATGGGGCTTTCAAGATGTCAGTGAATTTCTCAGGCAAACCCCTCTCCAACAGACAATTTCAGGGTACAGCTGTCCAACGAGTCGAAGACAGCCCTAATATCAAGACACAACGATTGTTGGTCTGCAATATGTGTGGTTATATTCAAGCATCTGGTGAAGGGTAAGCACATGGTCAGTGCATCCATGACTTGAACGAAAGCCAGCCTTTGTTCGCCTATCATTTTCTCACGTGTTCGCAAAGCCTGCGAAGTATGACAGCAACCAGTATTTTCGACGTGATTGGTAACAGACTATTAACCGGATGATTGTCACACACACTATGTAGATCCTTTTTAAAGATGAGCAAAATACTGGCTTCATTCCAAAGTGATGAAACACTCAGTTTGCCATGCCTTCTCAAATAATCGAGTCAGTTCCCTGAATAGAGTCTTTCCTGTATCCTTAAAAAGAGCAGAGGGTAGTTGTCTCGGCCGGATGCCTTACGACGTTGCAGAACTTGGAGTTCCTTACGGATGAGGTAGTGGAGCATCATCAGGATCTGCATTCACATGGTTGCCGGTGACCAAAACAGGTTTTTTCGCCATCCGTTCCGTCTGAAACTTGGAGTTCATAAGCATTATCCGTTTGGAATCAGCTTTTTCCAACTCCCCTAGGTGAACCATCAGTATCCACCAGTCCGATGATAAACACCATACATTCGATTGCTCCCTTTCATATGTGTGAAAATAACCCCGTGACGTGAAGGCAATTAGTAGGGATTCTCTGACAGGCTGTGGATACATAGGAGAGCATTTGTGGACATACCAATGCATTTGGGTAACAACTAAGGAGTAGTGTCCTTAACATTAACTTTGAGGGATCAGGGTAAATACCTGACGAAAAATACTTTATAAAATTTGTTGCAATATTTCTGTCTCATGATAATCATATGGCGACCAAGGCACCCATTTTAGGCAGCATGCTGTCTCACTGCAGTCAGCTAAGATTTTTTCTAAGGTTCTGGAAAAGGTCTGCTTGGATCTATATTAGAAACAAGTGTTTCCTGTTTGTGTTCTCCTTATTGAAGAGTTTCTACTCATTTTGAAGATGGGCTTAAATTTCACTTTGACATGGACTGGTCAAGTCACTGAAGTCATACGTTGACGTACTCCGTTCATCAACCCTCATTTATTAGGCCGGTTCATTACTTGATGTACGGGCCTGCACGTGACTATTGAATTACATTGGTAATATGTGAAGTGTGGGAATAATGTCAGACTAGTTCCCGAGGTTTCTCTAGTAAAATTTAAAATGCGTAATCTACTTTGAATTTATGGAACCTCTCTCTAGGTTATGTCTACCTATTCCTATTGTCTCAGAAATTGTCTTATAGTTAATTTTAGTTTTGGTTTATGCCTCCTTTTACTTTAATACTTCAAAACTTAGAAGCTTCAGCTCTTACATTGCACTTTTCCAGTTCATTAATCAGTTCTGAAATGGTGGCATCCTTTCAATAAATTTTGTCATTGTAGTTTCAGTAGCATTTCTTTCAAGAAACACTGCACAAGAGATACTTGCACTTATAGTTTAAACTTGAAATTCTCTGTGTAACTAGTGTTCACATTATGAATTGCTTATTTTGTGACATGATTTAAAACTATTCTTTTTTTTCGTCAGCGTCTGGGAATTATTAATCGGCTAAACCGCCCACACAATTTTGTTTCACGGACAGTGTTACGAATGGAGGTGTGTAGTGCTTGTGGTCGTCGGATTACTTTTGGTAAAGCATCCTACAAATGTTTAGTTTGTCGTCTAGTTGTTCATCCCGCTTGCCGACAAAAGGTAAGATATCCAATTTTTAAATCATGCAAACGTCCTGATGTGATACTAGTAATGAGCAGTCTTTGAGTAGTGTGTTTTCGATTTGTATATGTACTGAGTATTTTGTTCGACATGTTAAATGGAAAGACTTCTTAGATAAAGTCAAAAAGAAGAAATAATGACTGAATATGGTGGGAAATATCTGATAACTAATTAACCCTAGTTTTTTTTTTTTTAAAATAAAAGATTCACCTTGTAAAATATGAATTCTTTTCTTTCACGTCCCTCCTGCCTCCTATGCACTAATTTTTTCCTCTAGTTTCATATTCGAGCCTAATAGGAATTACCGTTACGTGTAAAACATGGAGATATACTTGCCAATTTTAATAATTTCATACAGTTCATGTGTTATCTCCTTTTTTATTAATTCATTGAGGTTGCGGAGAGAGTTTGATAGTTCAGCTAGTTTTTGCATTGATAACTTTGAGCGACTACAGATCTCAGTCTTCGTTTTGGAGGCCGAGTTTTTTAGTTTACTGAGAGTTTCGTAATCGCTGCACGCTCAAAGCGTAATTCATTTGTTTCCACAATTTTCTATTCATAGCTTACTCAGACTTGTGTACCGCCAAGCATGCCGAACCCAGTATCCACTTTCCAGCCAAATTTTCCTAGTGTAGCAGCATCACAAAACACTTCGGTTCTCATGCCTGTTTCACCGAAAGCACAGCCTCATATACACGGTTCTACAGATGCAGTTTCATCTAGCCCAAAACTTCCTAGTAGGAGGCAACCATATAGCATAAATTTATCTTCGCTATGTCCACCTGACCAATTTCCATGTATACCTGCTCTCGTAATACACTGCGTTAATGAAGTCATGGTGCGTGGTATGACTACTGTCGGACTTTATCGTGTTTCTGGTTCCGAAAAGCAAGTTAAAAGTATGTTGACCTTTTTTAAAATCTCGAAAATAGTGAGCTTTTAAATATATCACTGAAAAAACTGCGCACCATGAAGTGGATTATTGCGCTATAAAAGATTTTTTAATGACTAGTTTTTTAACTCAGTAGTATTTCGGGCAAAATTATTGTTGCTGGTCACACCAATAGTGGGCGTTTATTCTAGCACAAATAGGTATCTACGCTGGGCTGTGGGCCGTGCATCAATTAAGGTGGCATTCAAACCCGTGGTCAATCGTAGAAATCAAGTATTTACACCGGTGAGCAACAGATCTACGTTGCGTTCATAAGAGGGGATCCGTATCTAGTCGTTAAACTAAAACTTGATCCGGAGAAAGCATGTTCTTTGTTTCATCCCTAATGCCACTCTGTTTGAAAGAACGGCTAAACAAGCTTTGGATACATCTGCAAGCTTGGAGAAATGGCGCACTAACTTAATCATTCTACTTTGAAAAAGTGGGAATTGTGATAAACTTTTACACAATGAGTGTGGCTCATAGCCTGGTACTTAAACATGTGCCCGTTTTAACTGAATTAGTATTATTTATAGACCTTTCAGTGTGTACATTGCTAAGTCACTAAACGAGCCTTATGAGGCAAGACTCAAAACAAAATAAAAACAATTAAATCATTTGATGATATTTTCAACGATGTAACGCATATGCTTATTTGCTACTATAGTAATTTCTAAGTAATGTTTCATAGTGTTCAACCATGTATTTCGATCGTTTGGTAAACTTCAGTTTTTCCTAGACAGCCCTATTCTGCTCTAAAAAAGGAATCAATAATATTGCTTTCTCAGCTATTTGGAACGATTGATTTCAAGTGCAGACTCAAGTGTATCTGAACTTCTTCATCATGATAATTGAACCTTCGGTGTTTGGTGACATTTGAAGTGTGATGGAATACATGGTTGCGTCTTGAAAACTTATTATTATTATTTTACTCACACCGTCATAGAAACATCGAATTTTTTTTACGGGATTTCGACCTTGATTTCCAAAACTCGAATACTACGTTTATATATATATATATATATATATATATATATATATATATATATATATATATATATATATATATATATTCTACACTGTGATACAACAGTGAACTTCTAAGCACTATGGTGTTTACGCTGCCATGCAGTTTTGGTATCCTTCACAGTATAGTTCAAGAATCAGTGTGCAGTTACCAATTTTATACGCGATTTGCATTATATACAAGATAATATTCCTGCAAATAGCCTGATATGTCATACTTTCTTTTTTGTTTCGAAATATTAGATTTGTTTGAAAAATTCCTACACAGTCGCACTACACCCAGTTTGGCTTTAATCGAAGATATTCACGTGATCTGTGGTTGTTTAAAGTTGTTTCTACGTAGTTTAGAGGAACCTTTAGTTACTTATCATCAAAGGCCAAATCTAGTGTCAGCCAGTAAAATGTACACAAGTCATCCGAACAAAGCACATGAATGTGTTTTGGATGTTTTGAAGAATTTACCAACACCTAATCGCCATACTTTGTCGTTTATCATGCTTCATTTAAAGGTAATCTCCCATACATTTTTCCTTTCTTTTTCAACTTTTGAAAGCACTTTGTCTGCAGTTTCGTAAGATAACCGCTAATCTTACTTTCCATTTATTTCGTAGACCATTTGTAAAACACCGGCTTGCAAGATGGATGAAGAGAACTTCTCAAAGGTGTTCGGTCCGACGCTGGCTGGTTATTCCTGTCCAGCACCTCATGTTATGCAGGCTATTTCAGAGACGAAACCTCAGCAAGATGTATGTTTTCTAAGCTTTGAAATTTTTCTTATCAAAGTATTTGCTTTCATGCAGTCACTGACCGCGGGTGTTTGCATGTCGTGACAAAAAATGGATAGCAGAAGTTGAAAATAGTATCATTATATTTATTTAAACGCTAGCATTCAATAGATAACAGTTTATTACTTCCTTTCATTCTTGAAGGTGACAGAATTTTGACAGATTAGAGATGATGAAATAAGGATCCCACCAACTACCAATGTATTTGTGTAGTTTTGGTATTGCATACAACTGAAATAGTTGAAGAGCAAGACCATTCGATAACTGACCACCTTCAGCTAGAAAAACAAGTTGGTTTTTCCTTTCATTACTAAGCTTCTGTAAGTATAAAAAATAAGGTATCAATTTTATGACGAACGATTAACAGCATATTGTATACCATGAAGACTTGTGATTGTTACAAGTGCACTACTAACCGATGTAGTAGTAAATGTATTTGATAGGAACAATAAAGTATCATGCATGAAACAGACGCTTTTTCAACTAGAGTTATTAATAAATATGCATAGAATGGATGACTGGTAAATTACTGTTTGATTTTTTAGTGCTATATATATAGACTTTTCTGCTGAAGCTGTGGCGGCATAAACAGCTAAACGTTATGAAAAATCTTATTTTGATTTTCTATCACCCTGGGATTGTATTAAAACTTACTTATGTATGGAATTTTTTTTTTTTTAGGTTGTACGATTGCTTTTCTCTGTGTCTGGCGATGTATACTCATCAATTCTCTCGGATTGGAATGATGGCTGTGGAAATGGTGAACTGTGTGACTCCTATTTCAAGACATTAGTTACCGATATGAATTTGTCACAACAAACAACAAGTGCACATTGTTGTAAACCCATTGACATGCGAGTACCTGCTCGTAAAGGATTTCTGCCTAACTTCTTGACGTCATTGCGAGATCCACCTAAGTAATAACCTCCTGCAATAACGTTAGAAATTTAATATTTTATTCTTAGCAAGAAGTAACCCATCATTTTATCTCATGAATTTATCGTGTAACTTACGAATATCTTTACAAATAATGCACCGATTATAATTTATTATTAAAACACAAACAAGGTACAGCAAGAGCACCAAGAAATGTGCCACACAAAATAATCTAACATTATTTTAAAGATATAAAGCGCAGGGAAGTGGATAAACAAAGAACAAACAGAATAGAGTGATTAGAAGGGTAGTCCAGTAAGATACATTAAAAACAAAAACACAGTATTTTTCAGCAGCAGAAGATATACGGAAGATAAGGCATGGCTGGCACTCGTATTGATTCTGAGCCATAACTCATGACTCCTCAAATCACTGAGTTGGACCCCAGCCAGGCGGTGGTGATGCGCCAAGAGATGCTAACGAGATACAACCAAACTTAATCCCACCACACTACATCATAAAGTGATCATACTTCTACTTTATCCATCCGTAATAACTGCTCATCCTGAGGAAACTTAGCGTGCTGTAGAAACAGCGGTAACGACAGCTGGTAATCTACGCCCGAAGGTTACTAGACGTCATTGGATTTACGCAACGTCGTCCGAACTGATTGATACGAGAAGACTGACTCCAACGTTGACCACGATGAATTGAGAAAGCAACTCAAACGTAAATTGACCATGAGTTTTCACAGTAGTCATGCGCAGTGGTGGGTGGCGGGAGCGAGGGAGATGGAGAAGGGAATCAGCGTTGGGAAACATTCGGTAACTATTTAGGCTTATTAAAGATGTCGACAAAAAGAAGACGATGGTGACTGAAACTATCACTGAAAAGGATGGGACGCTGATAACCTCCAACAACAGACGAATACGATGTTGGGTGGGACACTTTGAAGCACAGTTCAACTGGTCGACAGCAACGCTTCAGTTGCCCAACATCCAGCAAGCGTGAACCTGAATGGTACATAGATGTGTGTCATCCAAATCTCGTTGAAGTTCTGAAAGCTGTTTGGAACTCGAAACGATGTGAAGCAGCAGGACGTGACAGTTTGTCACCTGAATTTTTCAAGGATGAATGTAGGAAACTGTTGAGTAGAGTAACGGAAGTACTAGGTAGTGTAAAAGAATAGGTGGTGGTGCAGTCACACTGGTGTACTTCACTGATCCTCCCAGTCCATAAGAAGGGGGATAAGTCTTCTAATGACAGCCATAGGCGAATTAGCTTGCCTAACATTGTGTCAAAGATCCTAGGGCCCATAGTTATGCCTAACTAGAGCTCCAAAACACCAGGGAGGTTTCAGAACTGAACGAAAGGGCGCCGACCTGACTTTTATCTTCCGATAGATTCTGGAACATAGTCATACCTATCGGCCAATGGGCGACACTTGGCATATTTGTTAACCTGATGGCGAAATTCGACCATGTCAACCATGGGACGTTATGTTAGTGTCGAACTGTGAAGGGAGTACCGAGAAAGTACATAACGCTAATCAAAGCTTACTACTCGAACCCACCCAGCCGTGTAAGGAAAAAGGCTTACTAAAAGTTGTGAACTGATGACAACTAGTGGTGTTTGCCAGGGATGTCCGCTATCACCGTTCCTATTTAACTTTGTCCTAGACGGACTCAAGGACATAACCACAAAACTAAATGGTACAGACGTCTGGTAGAAAATATGAAAATTTGTGATTATTCAACCTGGAGTAGCTTCATAGTGAACGACAAAAACTGTGCGTGTGATAAGCTACACTAGCTACTAAAGGGGCGTCACGGTTCGGTGTTGTTAGCTCTGGGAAAAGGATGACAGACTAATGACTTGAGAACCTACGAGAATTCTGAAAGGCATCTTTCCTTGTATTTATTCTGTGTGCAGGTCAGCTAACAGTTGGCTTTTCGTGCGATGATTAGGTTCCAGTCATAAACAATGGTTCAGATATGGGTATCATTGATCAGATGCTAGCAGTAAAGTCTATGACATACGAAACGGTCTTCATTTAGAAATGCTGAATAATAATACTTATTGTTTGCAAAAATGTCATACATTCAGAAAATGAAGAATAATTCGTCCAGAGAGCGTTTGTATTTGAGCAATGACATTATATTTACATGGGTCAGCAAAATATTTTTCTGATTGGACAAATAAGGTTCCATAATTTAAAAGTAAGCCGTACACAGGTTGAATGTGGTGACACATCATTTACGAGTGAACAGACTATGGTCAAGCTTTGTTGGTACAACAAGTGGATGAAGAAGTTCTGAGAATTCAGTTATTTCGTCTTGTAAGGAATCGTCAGCAGGGCTGCCCATAATACTCATCTCGACCATCCAACTACCAGAACAGAGACGTCTCCACTCTTTGGGTGCTAGTTCCTAAAATTAAGGAAAATAGGTGGAATCGACAGTATAATTTTTCTCTGAAATATGAAAAAAAAGCATTGGACACAGTTTGGGAAAATGAGACAGGTTGCTTACTCTTTAAATTAAGGTAAATATCAAATTTCTCTTGGAAGTAGTTAGGACGAATCCATTACTAGTCACAACTACTGCTCATCGTCTTCCACTAGCATTCCATATCCAGAGGGACTCATCAGTGACGTTGCATATGCTGAATGTTTGAGAATTCAAAGTTAGCAAGTGACCACAACTTCCCAGTAAGTGATAACATTGAGTCAGGTAGAGTTATACTAGAAAGAAATGTTAAGTAGTCGGGCCTTTTTTTACAGTGTAGTTCGGTTGACATCATTAAGCTAAGTCCAATCCTTTAAAAATCTGTTGTGGAGAAAAGCGTTATATAAGAATCGAATCAAGCAAGGCCGGTGTTCATCTCCATAAAGGCATGCGTCGATAATTTCAGCTGGTAAAATCGACACTGCTGAACATACAGTTTAGGGATGTAGATTAATATTAAAAGAACGACTTGCTACTGGATTATTAACATCACGAATACTGACTCACGAAATCAACGTAGAGCCTCGCACACAAGTGCATCAGCTCAAATCGTCACAACTCACAATAGGACCGCAACTAGGGAGTCTACATCTCACAACATGTCTTAGGTCAGCAGTTAGATACTTCATGCGCTCATAACGCGCCTTAGTCTGGCCGCGCTGAGCCTTTTAATCTAATCCGACTTCCCTAGGTATCCACAGTATATGTCCAAGCCATCTCAGGCCTGTTACAGGATGTTTTAAGGTTAGGTTGTTCTAACACTGTCTAGAGAAAACCCATTCCACCGACACCAGAGAACCTTACGGCGAGAAGGAGTGTGTTATACGTCGGACTGACCTTTACTAACTATCCCTTCTCACTGAGGTCACTCAAAGGGAACACTATGCTGGTGTCACACCCCATCCAGCTGGCAGCAGTACAACATCGTCCTCAGACTCCAATCATAGTGTAGCAGTTTACACAACAACTAACTGCTTTTCGTCTTACAGCCATCCAACAGACCTTTGGGGCATAGGAAGACCTTGAGGGAACAAGGGTTTCGCCAGTATAGCTCGTTGGGTCATTGTGATATGCAAACCCGACCACTACGTCAAGGTAGCAGGTATCGGTCGGGCACGACAATGTTTAGACTGATACCTGTAGTTTACTTAGACATTTTGCACAGATCCCACTGCATTACTTGTATTTACGCCTGAATTACATAATGACAGTCGGGATTCTCTATACTGCATCCATGTTTTGGTCAAACCACATTCCGAACTGCATATAAGAGGATTCATTGTTTGCACACCGTGGAGATGAGGAATAGAAGTCTGGAATGCAGTTTGTGTTGCTCATATTGTATTAGCTTTCTGTCTAAGGATAATAAGAGTAACTTCTTTCGCTCGTCCTCCAAATATGCTGTTGTCTCTATCGATTATGGCACGGCTGTCGTAATAACTAGGTTCGCATAAGAAGTTTATTCCCACGAAAGTGAATGTCTGGTGTGTATCTCCAGACTGGTGGGCACAGAGAGTCTACCTACAAGAGTTGGAAGACCCTAGTTACAAATCAACGACGCACAAGGGTTCCATGGCCCATAAAAGAACCTACTTCGCGTACCGTCAGCCATGGGGACGCTTGTTCTGTCATTGCTAACTAGTTGCTGGGTTGTACCTGAAGTCAAAGGTTCCGGGAGTGATCTCTGAAAACTAACTAACATTTGAACGTCGGGGTATTTATCTTAACTCTTACACAAAACATGACATGTCCCAATGAGGAACTCGAAGTGCTCATTAAATCTGCTTCGATGTGATCAAATTTATTGTATTGCAAACTTAATACCTAACCATCTACTTTACTGTACTTTAATGTCATTACAGATAAACTGTGTTGTTTAATCGTTATCATTTTGGAATTTGTGCATAAGTGCATTTTTACTTCATTCAGCCTGTCATTGATTAGTCTAATCATTCTGCCCTGTCTGTACAGTTGCCCTATGGTTGATAGCCATGTCCCTATACCATTGAGCTACAGCTCCACTCATCACATCAAGGTAGCAGCTATTGGCCGTACCATAGGTGAAGCAAGTTGGTAATTGTCTAATAAACCTTTTGTATCTAAACCTAATTATCGTCAGGAACCAACCTTTTCAGACTGGTGCAAAATTATAAGTAGGTGAAGGGATCAACACGTTCCAACACCTAACTTATACTGGAAGTCTATGCAGAGGAGTCCCGAAGCATCAACTCACATTTGACAGGTGAAAACTGGAAGCCAGACCTACTCATATATCTGCTTAAGAAGTTCAGAAATCTCTGCATGTTTTCAGCATCTTCGCCTATCGGTACTATGTCGACTGCATACTAAACTAGTCAGTCAAGTAATTTCCAGAGAGTAAGTTAACAACTGAAGAACCGAAGGGAATTATGTCTGTCAGTACAAGTGTCAGTCGCAGGTAGGTATGTCTGAGTCTGACGAAGGATGAAAATTTGATCACTGTATACTCATTCATGTCTCTAACCTGGTTTCTTTAAGTTTGTTGTACTTCAGCTCCGGTTGTGCGTCGGATGATGGACCCTAGGATCTTAGACACAATTTTAAACTGATTAGTCAGACTTTTTTTTATAGAAATACAACTGATTCCCATACAATAGTTAGCACTTCAGCTGTTTAGCTCAGTAACTTTCTAGCACTATCCTTACAAGCATCTGAGGGCGTTGCATTGTTTCAAGTTTAATAAAGCTTCAACTTCGAAGAGATATAGAGTATCGTAATCTACGTCCTGTTCAGTTTTAGTTGGAAGTTCGGGAATAAAAGCTTGGCTGTAGGTCAGTCGGACTGTTCTCCGAATCTTCACCTCAATGTTCTAGCTGCCTGTTTTAAGAAGTTATCATAGATTTATCATTTTCAACGATAGTCTCACTAACCGTCATTTTCTTCTTGCCAACATCCTTAAAAAGCCATAATATCTGCTGTGTATTAACTAATAGCGATGACTTCTCTATCTTTCTCGCTTTTCTCACCCACCACTGCTGGAGTATCATTAGGAAGATTTAGTCAATTTATGTATCACCTACTCTCACAGCGCTCTGGAATAAATCTTCTTGCATCAGTCAGTTTGGATGAGGCTGTGGAAATCCACTGATTTTCGCTAACCTTTGGATGAAGGTTGTCAGGCGTTTTTACCACCGCCCCTATACTAGACTGAACATAATGCCTCTGCTCCTCAGTAAGAGAATTCCTACAAAGTTCAGATAAGCGGTCGTTTATCTCTGACCTAAATACAAACTTGATGGTCGTTTAGATTGAAGAGTAACTGGCCAAGGAAACGATTTCTGTTCATCATATCTGCCTATGTCCCGACTGACTGCAGCCCGAATGCAGGCAAGCAGGATTTCCATCATCAGCTGAGTGAACTTTACTACCAGGTGCGCCCACCAGATATAATAGTGCTAGCTGGGAATTTCAATGACATTTCGGGCGTTTAAACGAAGAGAAGGCTTGCTTATATGGCTACTATGGTGATGAATTGGTCACAGACCAAATAACAAGGAACATCTGCAGCTTTGCGTAGATCACAATCTTTTTCTAGCCAGAACAATCTTCTGACAGTTATCGCTGTCATACCACCTGACGTCCTCCCTCTGCCACTCAAATTTGAACGTAAATAGACCATATTGCAACCGGCTGCGATGACATGGATATATTCAGTCTCTTATGGAACACTCATCTCGACTATGATCACGCCGTAATATGTAACACGTTCATCTTGCGGTTTGGTGGTCATCAAAATCGTTGCTCAAAACGTGCCAACGTAGGTAAACTGGTTGCATCTAGTATTACAACTGAATATGAAACCAAACTGAATCCGGGGAAAGCTGTAAAGCCTGTAGAAAGTATTGATGGACATTGAGTGCACCTACAAGGCACTATGGAAAGAGTGAGTAAAGCTGCTTGGGACTTTGAGAAACGTCTCGCTAATAAACGCTGGGTCTTCGGGAGCTCCTGGCAAATTGTTGATGGTCGTCGGTTTATCCCAGCAGGGAGACAGTACATAAGTGTATGTAAGTCTTTTATGCGATAGATCAAAGAGTGCCAGAACTGGAGATCAGAACGCACGAGTGAGTTGGAAATAAAAGCTACATTCAGCTATAGTCGGAAGCTGTCACAATTCATCCATCAGAAACAAGAATGCTAGTATCAGTAAGATGGCCTATGTATTAGATGGTTAATCGACCACTCAACTTCAATCGTCAGCTGGAACACTGGGCAGATAATTTCCAAAATCAGCTCAGCTGACCTGTTGCTATAGCAACATCGACATCAATGTCTAACCCTCCATGGTCAGTTGACATAGATCCAATCAATGAAAAAGAGATCCATACGAAACTCTAAGCTCCATAATTTACCCAGTAAGACAACTCAGTCGCAGCTCCTTCAGAGTATGGAGGGGAATGACTACACTGTTTGGGAAGGCATAGCAAATTGTGTGTTCCATCACTCTGGAATGAAACCATTGTTGCAACCACCTTTGCAAATGGTCTACGTAATGTATGTAAAAATCTCCAGTGTTTTACAAAACCCATCATTGACTTTTTCTACTACTGTAACTTCCTTAAATCATCAGGATAAACAGTCTGCTACCTAGAGTGTCTTATAAACTGGCTGCTTTCGTACTTCTCAGACTGTACAAAACGCATGGAAAACTGATCTGGCGAGAAGCAGACTAGGTTTCGTTCAGGTCATGGATGTTTTGATCACGTGTTCACCCTCCGCCAGAGGCTCGAACACCACCAGACGTATTGCAGGTCAACAATCTTTGTAGTTTTAGATATTAGGGCCGTCTTCAGTTCGTTAGACAAGGGTGTAATCTGGAATTATCTGTTCGAGAGCAGTGTCCGTGAGTTCTTGGAACTGCTAAACTTTAACACTTTCTATAGAGTCAATTAAGGCTTACAACCACCTATATTTAGCCAGCAGGTTAGGCATGATTACTTGGTTTTTCACATGCCTGTTACCTTTACCATCGATGACAATCTGAAAACAGTCCTGAAAGAAGTAGATAGTAGTGGTGGTGGTGCTGCTGGCATAGATCTGTTACCAGATGGACGACTTTCGACTTCGTGTATTCGGAAGATATCGTATCCGTAATGGTGGTATGAGTGACAACATCAAAGTGCTAAGAGCTTCTACAAAATCGGTAGCAACCTACATATATATTTGTCTGGCGTTATCAGATAGTTTAGTCATGGATCTATATTGTGACACAAAAACAACTATAGATAATTAATATAAGGAAAGACAAAAACACTAAAATATTGGTTAAATCCTAGAAAACGAACTGATTGATAACATGTTCAGTAGGAAAGACTAATCGCAACTCAGGACAGTATAGTATGAAGCATCCAACCATGTTAACGTCAACAATAAGTTTAAATAAAAGACAACACGTTTAAAATTCTTAATTCATAATGAGCTTGAGTTTATCGTGTAGAAATGTTTCGAATGCAGGATGTCTTGTACAACAGACACGGAATAGTCTTAGGACACGATGAAAATCCCAAGGAATAATACTTGAAAGTTATCAATGAAAATATAGTCGAGGTGAATTAAAAGCAAATAGGCAACTAACCTGTCCATCAAAACTTAATCCCATAGAATTTGAAACTGTTAAACTATGATATTGAGTGATTTCATTTACAGTGTAAACTAATATTTTAACACGTCCACGAACAAATTCTTGACCTTCGGCAATATAAGTGAATTCATGTTCAAAGCCTAAATCACACAAAAAGCTGACAATCGGTCCAATGACGGGCATTTCAAGACAACTACGTCGTAAAATCTGAAGGGAGAAAAGGATTTGAAATACAATACAAGCTGTTAACGTTAAGTGAAGACTACAGAACCATAAACTGAAATACATATTAATGTTGTTGCTTGTATTGTCCTGTCGTTGAGTGGACCGTATTGATCGGTCTCTATTGGAATATGGGCTCCTGCGGAGATGCCATTTGGGACTCGCCAGCCGGATGTACCTGCCCCCCCCCAGTGAGCGATGTTGTTCCCACCAGGACTCGAGCTCGGGACCTATGGCTTCAGACGCTAGAGCGTTATCCACTACACCACCGAAGGTTCCCGAGTTCGAGTCCTGATGGGAATAGCATCGCTCACTGGGAGAAAGATAGATCCAGATGACGAGCCCCGAATAGGACGTAACGCGCGTTCTCGATTCCACTGCTAGGAACTATCCATCATTAATATACAATTGAGACACAGGCGATTATCGAGGTATCCGCGCAGGAGCTCATATGCCAACAGAGACCGATGAATTAGGAAAACTCAACGATGGGATAATACAAGCAACAACACTAAAACTATACCCGTCGCATACGAAATGGCTATCGTGACTTGGTGGTCTAACAGACAACGCTCTGGCGTGTGAAGCGATCGGTTTTGAATTGCAGTCCTAGTGTGAACAACATCGTTCACCGGAAGGCAAGTACACCCGGATGATGAGTCCCAAACAGGATGAAACGCGCGTCCTGGGACCCACTGCTTGCCACTATCCATCATCAATATGAAATACATACTATCGAGGGAAAAAGTGTTTCTACTGGTTTGCTCAACTACTGAGAAATTTAATTGAAGGAGTTAAACAGGATGAACACAATTGTAATTTACTGACTGAGACGATGAATATGAATGATTATAACAAGCTTACTGGATACGCAAGTGTAAAAAAAACCCAGTCTATTTTCAAACAGTAACCGTCACTACTTAATAGTTGGTCCGTTTATACTACAACACCTAAATTAATAGGTGTTAAAAAATAAGTAGGTAAGCAAAAGCAAAGAGATGAGAAGGAATTTAGATACGCATTAACGAAAATACCTGTGGCATGTGGGTAATCAAAAGACTAGTACACAGTATCGGAAGCTTACTGATGATTTAATTGGACCACAAACTAAGTACAAAATTGGAACCGAGATAAACAAAATAATAAAGCAATATTAGGAAGACACAGAAAGGAAAGAAAAACAGAAATGAGTCATCAAAGAAGCAGTGTCAAAGTTACACTCAAAGAAGTATTTACCACTCTCGTTTTCCTCTTCAGAAATAGAAGGAATAAGAAGGCTGCAGCATAATTGTGAACTTTAAGTCATATCTGCTATCGCATCAGGCCGCTAAATTACATTATCTCTTGGACGCCAACAAGGGACTCATGAAGCACCTACGGTTGCTTATTCAACACAGCTATTCTTCATTCCGCGGCGCCACGTGGAAAATGCAGAGTTGTGAACTTCATCAACCTGAGGAGGCCAGTTTTCACAGGCATAGAGCAGAACTGGGCGCTCCAACATGTTGCTTGTCGGACATTTTACGGCGACGCACAATAGCCTCCCCAGTAACAGTGTAGTGGGTGTTCCTGATAAGAATGGATATAAGTAGTATATGTTGAGAGGGTGGCAGAAATCATAGGGAATTACCAGCAATGGGGTAAGGATTCCGCCAAGAGGGACGCAAGAGAAGACAGGTGTATGAAGAGCAAATCAAAAAAAAAGCAGAAGAGGAAATGAAGCACATTTTGCAAATGACGGTTTTAGTGCAGGGTGTACCAAATTTAACGACTACTGTCTCACTTGTTGGCAATAAACATTCCATCCTTCGTACCTATCTTCTTGTTTCTTTCAATTGATGTCGCTGCTTCTGGACGTGATAAAGATTCCATGGCCTGCAGAGTTCGAGGATGGAGACGTCAAGGCCTTTCTCAGGGGCTTCGAGTTGGTCGCGGAGCTGGTGGGTGTCCAGGATCCAGGAGCAAAGGTAGTGGTACTTGGTATGGTGTTGAGGAGTAGAGCGAAAGCAGCGTATGACGGCGTGGAACATGGAGAGGGGGAAGAAGACTTGGCAGAGAATGGTTAAACAACTGAAAGCGGAGTTCGACAGCCCAGCGGACAGGGAGCTGGCGATGCCGCAGTTCCGGAGCACGAAAGTTGGAATAGACGAAGATCCGCTAGTACTGGCTGTGAAGCTGACTAAACTATTTCAACGAGCATTTCCCACGTTGGATGAGGAGTCGCAGGAGCCGTTACTGGCTGCACAGTTCACCGAAAGTATCCCGAATGCCATCGCCCAGCAGCTACGACTAGTCAACGTGGCCCAACCCACGGATATTAGTGAGGTGGCCAAGGTGACCAGACAGCTGTTGGGTACAGCAAAAGCTGCAGTGGAGTCATCAGATGTAAATAACTGGGGAAAAATCGACAAACTTTAGGAGGAGGTGGCTGCACTTCGAATGAATATCAACAGGCAGAGTAAATGCTTCGCATGTGGAAAACCTGGACACTGGCGAAGAAATCGTCCGGAGAGGTGAAAAAGAAAACGTTTTGAACGATATAACATGCGTTCTGTTTTTCCAACTAGACTAGATATTGTAGCAGCCACAGGATCGAGCTGCTGTGTATGCTAGAATGCGAATAAATGATCAGGAGATCATGTGTCTGATAGATACGGGGGCGGCAGTCTCGCTAATAGATAAGAGTCAGTCTCAGAACATAAGACCATGTGCACTAACGGTCCACACGGTTGGGTGACGTGTATTAGAAATCACAGGTTTATTAGATTGCATCGTCGAGATCGGAAAATTACATTTCCATTCATTGTGACCAGGCGTCTACAACGGCCAATCCTAGGTGCTGATTTTCTGAGAGAAGTGGGCTCAGTTATTAACACGAGAACAGGAATATTGGCTACGAAGTACGGTTCTTTCGCCAGGCAGGAAAACAGAGAAGCAGCAGAGATTAAGGTATCAAAAGCACTACACCCAGAAGCGCAAAACATCATGAAGTTGGTCAAGAAATACGACAGACTCTTCACAATAAACATTCATAATTACTTAGTGAATTGCAACTTTTAGTTTATTTGGCTACAAAGGTCAAAGCGTGTTGAAAGAGTGTTCATTGATTATGGAAATAAAAATACATTCAAAAAGAGTGATATCAAGGGATACAAGGTTGTGTGAGAGAATAAATAATCTGAAGATGAAGGTTAGTGTAAATATTCAAGCTATAGATCTTAACGAGTGAACACATCTGAGTCAATGCCACCAATTTTCAGCCATGTCACCAAGTGTTTTCAACCACTGATTTCTATCGTCTCGGAGACCCCAGCCCGATAGTTTGCATCTTCCAATACGGCTCAGACCAACGGTCAGGGATATCATTGACAGGTGTCAGGACTTGGTCTGGCCACCCTGAACCCTTTTTTATCCTAATGCGACTTCCCTCAGCATGGCACATCGAGCTAGGTGATGACTGAGCATGCGAAGTACATTTTCAAGTGATCTCAGTCGACACAGGTTCAAAACCTCATCCAGCGATTATCTTTTCCTATCTAGTACCCTTCGCCTGACTTCTGCATTACTCGCATTAAACAAGCTGTGTGAATCAACCACTAACAATATGTCAACTATCGAGATTTTTGCCTTGCTAGTACATGCATTTCATCACATTAGCTACCCAGCCGGAAAGTTATAGAAGTCCATTGTTTCGTGAGGTTTGTAGCTTTGGTCTTTGAGCATATGATTTCCGATCAAAAAGTCCCACATTTACACATTGTTACAGGAAATTGCATAGTATCACAGTTGCTTAATGAGTTTGCGCCAAATTAGAATAAAACTTGACTGTCTTCACAACAGAATAACCCCAAATGGAATACAAACACAAATTTGATAAGAACAACTTACTATTTTGTCAGTTTCTACAGCGCCTAAGTACCGCAGAACAGAAAATTCACGACCAACTCTATTGGCTTTACTTAACAGGCTGCGACGTACACGTACAGTGACAGCTGTACTACCGGATGCAGAGGCTGCCAAGACACCGACTGCAGCAGAAGTATTCGCAGATGATCTGTTGCCCACAACATTACCTGTATCTGTTCGGCTATCACTGCTTATTTCAAATATAATCTCTTGGTCGCAGAAATCTGTACATTCACGACACAATCCATGAAGCCGATTCAATAGCAATTCGTGTTGCATAGGTGACGAGACTACTGCCTATTATTGTCAGAATGGAAAAAATAATGGTCAACAGCAAGGCCGATAAACTGTTCTACTGTGCTTGGGATCTGCACAGTTGATAACTTAAAAAATAGCTGTAAAGGGAAACCAAATTGGCATATATAGCTAACTGTATTACATCAGGAAAATGAAGGATACACATAAGTCGTGAAAACCAGTTTTCAAAGTGTGAATACATAGACAACATACAGCTCAGATGTGAAGCCTTTTGCACCGGGTATGCATGAAAATTGTTATAGTGTGCAATAAGATCTTCATGAAACCCCCTATATCCATAAAGCCGTTTATGACAAATCGTGTTTCATTGAAGTTTCGAGAGAAAGCACATAAACCAATGTTGAAAAGTCTAAAGTCAATAAGATATAGTATTCTAGAGACGGCTAGGAATAGTCAAAGCCATTATAAATATATATGAACCGTTGTATTATGGATAAATATTTTACATTGCAATAAACCTTTTACTACCTATCAAAGGTGCGATCTGAAGGTAATTGTTCAAAGGTATATATATTCTGTAATTGGCCTCCGCTTTTTGCAGTGAACTCGTAGAAAAGGCTAGTGACTGGCACTGGTTGTCAACCAGAGGTTGTAAAACCTGCTCCGCTTGCTGAGTCAGGTGCATTAAGAGCAATACCCAAAGGAGTATTGAGGTCGTGATACACAAGGGTGGTTGCATTCAAGATGGCTACCTAGACTTTGGAGAAGGCAAGTTTAGTCACGTTGTCCAGAGTCACACACCTTGTATTGCGACCGAGTACTTATATCGGTGATCTCGTAATAGAAGCAAAGTTGGGAATACACCTTCAGTCATAACTTACCAGCCTGTTCAAAGTGAGAATTCACTTTACATCTGTCAGTTATGCATATTACAGAACAGCTGCCACTCTATTTGTCGATGAGCACATACACTTGTGATCAATAGTACGCCTAAGGTAATCGAGTGATTCAACTTCCATTTCACGTTTCTGAATTTTCACTATGATATCAAGCTTCTTCTGTCTATCAGATGCCAGGATCAAGCATCGAAAGTGAAATATCTTGACTGGATTCAGGATGAGACAGTTATCAGTGTAAACGCGGTCACAATGTAAACCACGGGAGAAATCACTCATCAAACTTTGGAATACTTGTGATGGATTCCGAAGACCAAAATCATGCGTAGATATTCTAACAGTTCAAAAGGTGTCATAACGACAGTCTTTGCAACATATTTTGCTGCCATAGTTATCTGATTGTACGCTCTGACTAGGTCGATCTTAGATAATACGTTTATTTCGCATAAAATAGAAATCGAGTTGCACGTGTGAGGTATTGCGGAGCGGTCAGGCGTTGTTTTGACATTAAGCCGTCGGTAATCACCGGTTGGACGCCAATCGTAGCTATTCTTTTTGCATACCATATGCAATAAAGACGTCCAAGTACTGTTCTTAGGTTTGATAGTGTCGAGTTCGAGCACTTGATCGGGTTCATCCTTCGCTATTCTGAGGTTACCAGGGGCTAGGCCACATTCTTTGGGTATCACAGGTGGGTCTGTGGTTGTGATTTGATGCATAACATTAATGGTTATACATGATAAAGTATATGTCGGCTGTCTCGACTCTGGATATTTGTCAAACATTGTCTAACAAAATGAGTCCGCAGAGTGTTTTCTTCTATGACAAAACCACATCCACATAGGTTATTCTACCAGTTGATAACTTAGTGTTGTTATCTTTTAGTCATAGTTGACGGGTATCTACCAGTGGGTTGTATTAGTTCAGCAAAGCTATGCCAGTGATGAGCATGGAGACATATGTACTGTAACGAGTCTGTTTAATGCCCACGTTATGATCTACTACATGAATAAGTGAAGAACGACGATGAATGGTGACCTGATCTCATAAATCCGGTTCGGTATACAGAAACCAAGTCCACGTGTCACCTCTGTTCAAATGAAATTATATGTAAAACTTATGTAATTGAAAAACTAACCATAATTCGACAAAGATCAAAATCTAACTTAAACATGAAAAATACCAACTTGTAAAAAATATTCTTGCATTGTGGCACCGTTAGCTGATGCAGTTGTACCCGTGAAATTGAAAGCTGCAGTTAAAGCGCTTGCACTGCTTGGATCTATCGGCTCACCTGATGACGGTTGTGCTAATCCTTCAACAGGACCTATTGCTTCAGCTATACTTCCACTTTCTCCCGGTAAAGCTGATAACGTTTGTTCCGATAAAAATCGAACGTTCATTGTTACAGATAAGAATACTAAAAAAATTCAAAAACTAAGAATGAGTCTCAGTAAGCAAATAATTTGACGTTTAACAAATGGAAAAACAATATTTATTACTTATCCAACTCATATTAATCAGTACGACTGAGGAAAACAGTAGAACGAAAATTAGGAGAAGAATACGCATGAGAAGCGGTAAAAGATGCAAGAAGCAAACGTCTGGATTAGTGTGTTTATGCGCAGACACACACATTCTGAGTACTTGACTAAAACACAATGTGAGAGTTTATGATACTCAATATCTAACTGTTAAAACCAGGATATATGAGGCGGTGTTTGAACTCATGACAGGTCGGTCAAAACCAGGGAACTATTGCCTCACCAAACTATGATTCAGATAAAAGTGAGTTGAAACATTACTTGAAGAAGACGCCTACGTGTGTGATTTTTTACAACTCGGTGAACAACATACAACACTATTTGAAAGAGAAAATTGAAACTGACAAAAAATAATAATAAAGAGTATTGACTAGGAAATGGTAGATCCCGCTAGAAAATGTACCGAAAAATAACCTAATTCAGAGATTTGCAGCAAAGATAAAAAAGAGTTTTAAAAGTGCGATAAGGTTTGAATCCAGGAAGGTGTAGCTTCTACCCTGTTGAAAGTCATACTACCTTTGGGTCTCATAATCCGAAAGACACAGTTTAGTTCATTAATCATTTAACTTTATTCATATGAAAACAAGGTACAACACATGATAACTAATTTATGTACAAACCATTAACCATTGGACTTAACAATTCAAAGATCATTATTATGAAGAGAATAACAGAGAAATAATTTAATTCATTATTTTAAGCTAAGTTTAAAGAATAAGTAATGCAAATTGAAATCCCTTAAAAACGGTTTCAGTCGTAAACCATTTTCGGTTAATCAATACACTTATACTGAGTGACGATTGAAAGTGAAATGAAAATGTGAACCGTGGTCGGATTCAAACTAGCGACTATTGGGTTTCCGGCCCGATGCTCTACCAAGTGAACTACGAGGTTCGAATCCGGCCGCGGTCCAAATTTTCATTTCATCTTCAATTATCACCCAGTATAAGTACTAGTCTGCCAAACCACGGCTATCTCAGTCAAAATGATAATTAATATATTGTATTAATCTTTCAGCAAAATATTTATTCTAAATGCTATGAATATTCCTTGAAAACATAATTGATCTAAATTCTATATACATGGTGAGAAAAATATGGATGACAATATTAATCAAAAGAACTTTCTCTTCCAGTTTAATCAACTCAAACTTAACATAATACGGATCAACATATTCCATGAAAAAAAAAATTCTTTAGATAGATAGTCAACGAGAACTAGTTTTGATGACAAGGTTTCTTAGGTTGTCTATTGAGCCTTCAAAAGCAAACTACTGAAAGTCAGAAAAAGCGAAGCTAAATAAAAGCAACTTCGTTAGCTCAGACAAGAAGATATGAAATAAAAAGTCGAACAACGAATTGAATAAATCATTTATTTATTTAACAAGGTAATTATCTTTTCATAAAACACAGTAAAAACAAAAAGAACACACTGCTTTATGTCTTCCCTTTTGAAAACGCAGCTAGTAAAAAGGATCAGATTAAGTTCAAGTGATATCCCAGACCCAAAGTAAAACAAATATGAAACTTCTCATGCGTTAATTAAACTCAGGTTTTCGAAGTCATTTTAAAAAAAAGAATAACTAATCAAGATTTTTCGGCTAACTTTGACGTTCGACTAACTTTCATTAAATGATGATAATTGGGTAGAATTCTAGTTAAAAATCCAATTGCAGTGTTTGTGCTGGTGGACGTTCAGTTGCAATACGACGATGACCCTGAAAAGAAAATTGAGTGAAAAATATGTGAGTGTAGTGAAATGTCTACATAAACAGAAGACTTGTATAGTCAGCTACGAAACTAAAGAAGACTGAAAATCAGCGACTTTACAATTATGAGTACCAAAGGTAACCAAAAAAAAGCTTACAGTACACAATCTATGTGTAAACATTGACTGCTTTAGCAACATTTTATCTGACATGTGACTGAAAAATTGATAAGTCAGTTTTTCAGGAAGCTTTAAAAGTAATATTGCCAAAAATGTGAAATATCTACTGATTTCGAACTCTAGGATATGATATTCAACAGAAAGAAAATGATTAGAATAAAGTTTCTGTTGCAATCATTGTATTTTGTTTTTGGAACTTAGAGAGAAGCAGTCGAAGAGGTATGATATGTACAGGGAGAAAAACGCTATGGAACCTGTCAAATGAGTTTAATTATTTGAATTTTGTAATTAGCAACTGATTATCCGGTTTAATATCAGTTTTACTATGTCGATTAGTTTAACAGAAACTCGGTATAACATTATTACCAAGCGGTGTTCAACAAGAAAAAACAAGATACAACGTCGTGAAGACAAGTGAGTAGAAAATATATTCAAGTGGTTGGAATACTGGAAGCAGTTGTTTTCACATATCAAAGATGTTTTCATTACTCTTTCAAGCAGGAAACCACTAGATTCATTCGTGACTGCTAATAAGCTCGATTTTTGATCAGATTTCATAATTTGCTTGGTAGTGGCTAGGAAATACACTAAAATTAAATTTGAGGCAGGCTGTTCAAGTAGAGACTGATCAATTCAGTTCAGTATAAGAATTAATGGAAAATTACAAACATTAACGATGAGAAACTATAAAGTGTTAAATCACTAGACTACATGATCTTTGAGGTATTCATTCAAGAAGTCATGAAAAGCTAACAGATGCTAATTCAACATAAACATTCTTCATTTTATGGGACGACACCATATATCAACACTACTACTTCACTTCTTCTAATCAATGGAAAGGATAGTAAACAGCCAATACTATGAAAGGCAATAGAACATCATACCTAATATCGCTTAAGCCACAATAGCCTATCCTGTTAAATTACGTTAGACTGTCACGATACAAAGTTACGGTAATGATGTTGCAATGGGATGAGAGTCATCCTATAAAGGTGTTGGTAGTCGATACAAAGAGCCATCATTTCGTACCAGCCAATTTTGTTGTTTTTATTTTGACACAGTTCATCTTATAATCTAATCCATTACTCTGTATACAAAGAATAAAAGAAGTATGAATTACACTTCTCCAGATAGAAACACAAATAAACGTGAAACCATTCACAGAAGTGCATTAGATTACAACAAAACTTAAAAAGGAAGTCAACAGAAACGGAATAATATTGAGCTGATCAGAAGTGTATAAGAGTAGAAGGAATCAATAAATTATAGTTGATAAAATGTTCTTGGTTTCGAAGATGACAAAGATAGTGTACACATCCGCGCCATTGTAACAGATTTTGAGCCATATTTAACTGACGCTGACCAAATCAGCGCAGAAACTCAAGTGCCGTTGTTTCAAGTTGCTATCTTTCCCAGTAGTTCACACAGAACAGGTGGATATGAAAAGACGGATATCAAAGTAGGCAAAGTTGTATAAGAGAATACACAATCTGAAGATAACAGTTTGTGCAAATATTCAAGCTGCAGAGGGTGTCAAGATGTGAACAAATCTGAGCGATTGTCACCGATTTTCACCTATATCACCAAAAGTCTTCAACCACTGATTCCTACCACCTCGGAAACCTCAACCACGTTGTAGTACACATCTCACCACACAGCTCAGACCAACTGTCAGGGACTTCGTCTTGGTCTGGTCACCCTGAAATCTCTTCCAATTCAATCCAGCTTCTCCTAATATGGCACATTGAGGTAGCTGGTGGATCGGTATGTAAAGGACATGTTCAAACCATCTCAGTCAACTAGGTTTTACAACCTCATCACCATGATTCCACAATTATTGATTTATAATGTCTCCAGAAACGCGGTGCGCCAAACAAAAGTGAAATATAACCCTCGGATAAGCATGATTGGGTGGACTAATTTATTTTAAAAGACACTTTACCTAGGATTCATTTCAGTTATACTAGTGTATAACTCAGATCAACAGCTTTGTATTCACCTATCGCTTATTTTATACAGTTTATGGTTCAAAACAAATACCTGCTAAAAGAAACCAATTGTTGTGAATGACTCTACCAGCTGTTTATAAAATCACTTAATTTTCATAAACTATAATACATTTTGAGCATATAATTCTGAAGTAAACATGGATGATTTAAATTAAAGTAACAAGGATAGTGAACATATTTCCAGTCTTTTTATTCGAAGGAAGTTATGAGGGGAGAAAATCATGAGACAAATGCATGGTAAGTTGGGTACACCGGAAAGTTGTTGTTGTGTTCAGAACTGGTCACATGGATAGTCAAACCTAGGAAAGGATTCAAATGCCTCATTATAACCATTTACCACATGTTATCACATAGACAATAGGTAGGCAGCCTACATGGTTCAGATCTATAGTTAGATACTTCATAAATTAGTACAAAATTGTAATCAAGTGGCGCCATCAGACTTCATTTGACTTAGCCCTAATGCCAACAACATAGCACATTAACCTACGTGGTGATTCCGCATACAAATATATAGGCAAGACAATCCAACTGAAGGTTCACAATATCACTCACTGTCTGGCTGCTTTTGTCTAACATGATGTGTCCAGCCTCAGCAATGCTAACATTGTGATTTTGTGACATATGAGGAAATATACCTATTCGCTGATACATGCCTTGTTCTTGTTAACATATGAGGAATGCTACGAAGACATCTATGGTCGAAAACCTGTAGTCTGTGCAGCATATCCTATGATGCGTAGTCGAACACATCACCAGCACAAGAGGTGATGTGATTCATCACGTGGGCATTTCTACCGTGGGTGAAAGTTTGTCTCTAAACGACACTTTAAGAATGATGCGAGTACTCAAGTAGGTGAAAGCGTCAACACATTCCGCCACTTTGCCCCTCATTCTGAAACTAAAAGTCGGTACAGAGGGTTTTTCAAGCAGCATCATTTGACAGACAAAAAAAATCAAACACAATAATATTCTACTTCATGGAGTTCACAGGAATCAGTGTTTTGTAAGTGTCGCTGCCTAGTGAATGTTACTCAACAACCACACCCAGGCAGTGAGTCCCATCTACTTTGTGAAGGCTAACGATACCACCTGGTCAGGCGAACCCTAGTGAAGGGATTACAGCTCAAATTCACGATCAACTAGCTGAAAGTTGACTTCATTATTCGATGAGCCATACCTTCTAAAGATTCTCGACAAACATTATTTACATACTCTAAGTTTACAAGGTGTTCCATGGATAGCAACTTAACCTCATTGAAGTCAAACGTGCATAAGGCCATGCACCTGACAGAGTCTAGAACGAAGTTGGAATGCAAATCGCTAACAGACACTACCACGCGTCATCGACTAAACTAGCATGATTGTAGCCATGAGTAGACAGCGTTGATGGACGCAGTATTATCTGCTCAAATCCCCTTCACGGATAAACGATGCAACAAACACTCCGCATTCAACGGCGTAGACAGCCACCATCATCTCAAGAAATATGACAGAAGTCAGTGGGCTTGCTCGATAAGATCATGAGCAATAACTTCTGCTGGAAAAGGCAAGTAGTGAATTATGCTATATGACTACGAACTATAACACACAGACTAATCTAAAATGCAATTACAACCTACCACGACGCCCAGACCCCGAACTTACATTACTATCATTGTATCGTCATTGTTTTTAAATATGAACTACACTACCTCTTCACTATCATTTTCAAATCTAACTTCATGTATACTTGTGGTTCACTCAGCCATTCGTCATTGACCAAACTTCCGGTCTGTCTGCATCATTTTGAGTCGCCAAATAGTTACTTCGACAACGTTTTTCTTCGGTGTGGTATCTGACACAACCACTCAGAAACAAAGAACACCGTTTAGGTTGGCCACCTTAAGTACTTAGAACCCGATGCAAATCGGACAAGAGGCAGGTTTACCTAAGACTCTTGGTAGCGACACTACAGATGCATACTATATTTTAAAGACCTGGATACGTCCCAATGAAGTGGCTCGGAAAACTCTTCCATCTGTTAGCCTAAAAAGTATATTCATAGTTTGCTCATTGGGAACATTGTGGTGCCAAAAGTCGGTTTTGCTGGTGTTACTGTCGCAGCAGGTCCCAGAGACAAGCAACACTAGTCAACCAGATCGCCATCAAGAGTCGACTATGAGCTGCTAGACAATTGGTTCGATTGCGCTGAGAAGTAAGTAAAAAGGGAAACAATATCTCTTCATCATCTCTACGAATGTCCCGACTGACTGAAGCCTGAACGCAGTCAAGCAGGGGTTCAATCACCAACTAGATGACTTTTTTAACCAGGAATGTTCGACAGATATCGTCGAAATCGAATAGAAATGCACTGAGCAACAATGAGAAGTGGGTAGTGAGCCAAACTTATCATGTGGGGCTAATGATACTACCTGGCTGCCCGAACCCCGACCGATAGCTGCTAACGACGTGGTGACCTTACTTGACTAACACAACCAACTAAGTTGATTGTAGTGGCTTTCCCGTGACATCTTATCAAGCTAGAAACGTTTGGCGGATTAGGTTAAGACAGAAAGCAGTTATCGTTTGTATAATAAACCACCCTTTATGGATCATGAGGCCTGCGTGTATCCTTGGTTGGGAATCAGGGTTTCCTAACATCCCTAAGTAAGATTATGTTACATGGTTTGCACCATCGAAGTGCAGCGTTTCTACAAAATTGTCAGTAGTTTGTATCTAGAGTGAATCGTTGAAAGTCGTCGAAACTTTTGTGTACCTAGGTAACTGTGAGTGGAGGTCTGACTAATGAGATTTCAAACCATATATTGAGTGTTAC